GCGGGGGACTCAGCGGGACTTGCCAGGACTTGGGGTCAAAATAATTTGCAGTTATTTTAGTGGCCGCAGTGTGAGTCCCGGACTGAGTCCCCGCTGTATTTAGGACTTGACTAAAATAGTCGACCCAAAGATTTTCCACCAACTCCTCTCACCTAATTGGTTGTCGAATGCATGACACGTCCCTCGACTGTTGTCTCAACCCCTCTCCCCCTTCTTTCTCACATTCACTCGCATTCTTGGTGTATACACTACTACTTTATTGGTATATAAAAGCAATGGCTATGGGTTTGCATTGTAGCTAACTGTATCTGTCGCAAGCTTCTCCTTTTTCATTTTGAATCTCTTTCTTTCTTTATTCTCACAATGGGTGGCCCAGGAAGTGGTAGACGCCCTCGTTCATATACTGTACAATCCGATTCCATGCAGCAGTCATCATCGTCAACATTGCCGCTTCCTGGGTCCTCAATGCCATTGATCGACGACGAAGCCAATGTCGCTTATACGACAGCAAGAGATGAGGCTGCCCAGAACACTAAACGCAACGCTCAAGAAAGTCGTCCTATCAACACCATATTAGCGTATGCGACACCTCAAAAGGAATGGAAGGCTTGGTGTGCAAAAATGGGGATCAATGAGATACCTGATGATGGCAAGCTTCATTTGTTTTTGCGTCAAGAGGTGAGTATGGTATATGCCTTGTATTGTTATTGTATTCTTACTAATGCTCCTCTAAAGGTTGTGTTTCGTGAACACCTCGTTCGTGGCAGAAAGAGAAAGAATCGTGACACCACCACTGCTACCTCATCTTCATCATCTGCTGCTGTTCCTGTTGGTGTTGAACAAGCTTGGTATGCGCATAAACAAATCCTTGCGTGATCCTTATTGCACAATGTTCCTAATGTTCTTCTATCTATTAGCCCACCATCATCTTCTTCTGCTGCTCCAGGTCCTGTTGCTACCTCCACACCATCATCATCATCTTCCGCTGCTCCCGATCTTGTTGCTACCTCCACACCATCATCATCATCATCCGCTGCTCCCGGTCTTGTTGCTACCTCCACACCATCATCCTCTAATGACTTATTGGGTGAGGATGGCAATCCACCAGTTGCAGAATATCCTGATCAAGAGAATAGGTATGTGTAAACAAATCTTCTCGCTGTCCTCATATAGCACAGTGGTCCTAATACCCTTATCTATTAGCTCTATCACTACTGAACTTACTGCTGCTTTGGGACCCGATCCAGATCTTGTACAAACCTTGTATGAGAACAATATTCATGTGGATGCTTTCCCCTCGTCCTTTCGCACTCCTTCTCGTCGTCCCCCTGATGCCAAGAAAATTATCAAATTCAGCACGGTGAAGAAATATGCACAAGCAATCGTCGACCTTTGGCAACAGCAGGGTGCTCATGGAACCTCCCCTCGTGGCTACCGTGTTAAAAAGCTTTTGGAATGGGTACAAAAGGAAGAAAATCGTATCAGCAAAGAGAATTATGATGATCGTGGTGGATATACAGCTGCCGATGGATATTCGTCAGAGGTGGAAATCAAAGCACTCATGGATTACTTTTGGAGCAATGATGATCAATTGGGTTTGCGTGATGGCTTAATGATTTTACTTCAACACTTTGGCCTGCTTCGCGGTGAGAGCGTTCGCATGTTGGAGTTTCCGGATCTACAATCGATGACACTCGACAATGAAGGAATCACCCCGTGTCACACTCTTGTCATGATCTTGAAGCAAGGAAAAACGAACCAGCATGGTCGTGTGGAGGCGGCTGGATGTTTTCGCCACAAAGAGGTCAAGATGTGTGCACACATGATGCTTGCTTGCTACTTCTTCAGCCGTTACCATGTCCATAATGAGGAGTTTCCCGGTGTCAACCTTAACAGCGATTGGTTCGATTACAAGGTGATCAAGAATGAGAACGATAAGACTGGAAAAAAGGAGCTCGGCTATCACGCCCACCGTGAAACCGTCATCAAAGCTTTCGAGTCTATCGGTCTGTATAGTAAAGCGAAGACACATGCGATGCGTGGATCGGCTGCAAGAATTGCAGAACTTGGAGGATCTAGCGAGGCATCTATTCAACGTGCCGGGCGGTGGAATAACAGTGCGTTGACAGTTTGCTACTTGACAAATATTCCTCGTGAGTTCATGCGGACGATGGCTGGATTTGCTGTGCAGGGTGGACACTATTATCTTCCACGGGCTGAAAAACAACCCCCTGAATCATTGGTGAAGGATGTGTTTCCCTTTGTGGATAAGTGGCAAGCAAGGATTCGCAAGGGGAAAATCAAGGAAAACGCTACCTCTATCTCTTCTGCTGTTATGTTCTTGAAGCTCTTGGATCAATTGCGCAGGATTTTCCTACAAGACTCAGTGTTGCTGAAACAGCTTTACCCACAACATCATCTCTGGAACCATTCTTTGTTTGAGGATCAACGGTACTTGGATTTTGAAAGGTAATATTGTGATAAACCAAATCAGCATGATCACTAAATGATTCCTTGATAGTGAATTAAAAGCTTTTTTACAAGAGGATGAGGAACCAGAAAGTTTGCAACTTCGAAGAGTTGTGCCTGACATTGAAAATGGACTATCTAATCTCAACCACCAATTTGCCTCTCGTTTTGCTGCTCTCGAGGAAACTACCGCCAATGCTCGTAGGGAGCAAACAGAGGACCTGAAACAATTTGTTCGCGATACTATTGGAGGTCAACTTCAGCCATTGGTTGAACATGTCACGGGCGTTCTTTCTGGAAATGTGGCATTGAGTGTCACTATCAATGCAAGTAATCAGCCACCACCACCACCACAATCACAGCAACAGCAACAGCAACCACCACCACCACCATCATCATCATCATCATCACCACCACCACCATCGTCACCATCACAGCAACAACAAATGACTGGTACGATTTCCTTGCCAAATCTTTCATCGGTGCCCACGTCTTCTCTTGCTAGCCCACAACCACCCACAACAAATCGATCGAATGGTATGCCTGCCACACCACCAGCATTATATAAAATGAGCCGCAATACGGTAACTTTGACCGATTTATGGCGAGAATGGTTTCAAGGACTCCGAGGAGGCTATCCAGTATCGGTGATGGAAAAGACGTATGGAACAGACTGGCGTAAGTCGGCAGGTGATAGCAAGTTTTATACCCGTCGTCTTCATATCATTGAAGGTATCAAGCGTTACGCTGAGAGGCATGATATGGAGGATGATATCTGGGAGGTGGTTTGCATGTTTGAACGTAAGCGGGCCAATGAAGGTTTGACGATTCATGGTGTGGCATTAACGCACGAAGCATTTTTCGCTGAAGCATGTAAGTACTCTACATTACACCGGTACCTATTCTTATAAACTCATCATGTACTTTTATAGAATCGGTCCTCTTGCTCTCTTGTGCTCTCTCTCTCTTGTGTGCTCTCTCTCTCTTGTGTGCTCTCTCTCTCTCTCCTCTCTCTCTCTTGTGTGCTCTCTCTCTCTCTCTTGTGTGCTCTCTCTCTCTCTCTCTCTCTCTCTCTCTCTCTCTCTCTCTCTTGTGTGCTCTCTCTCTCTCTCTCTCTCTCTCTCTCTCTCTCTCTCTCTCTCTCTTCCTTTCTCTTCCTCTCCCATCATCAGCAGCATTGTTTTTGCTTGGATAAATATAGTATTATTGATCGTGTTTTCTCTGTGCTCTAAACTTTGACGCATTCATTTGGTATCCTATGTGTATGTCTTTCTCGTTTTGCATCTACAATCATACGATCTCCTATGCGTGCATGTTACAGCTATGCTATTGCATTACTGTATAAGCATTTGTCTCATAATTGATATACCCATATATGCTCTTACTTGCTATCCCTTACGATCCTTTGTGGTGGATGATAGATAGATAATGATTGATGCAATGCACCATGATGATAACACTATGACAAGTTTATTGAGCCATAAATCGTTCAGCGCAAGCCGTAGAAGTACATGATAACATGTTCGAATCGTCTTTAGCGACGCAATAGTTTACGGTAAACTATAGAGAAAAACCCCTAAACATCTGCACTTTCGGTTTCTTAACAACATCAACACGCACGTGATGTACCTGCAACGTAAGCGCTATCCAAATCGTTCGAAACGTTGCCTCAACCCCTCTCCCCTTTTCTTTCTCACATTTACTCACATTCTAGTTCACTCATATTTTGGTGTATACACTACTACTTTATTGGTATGTAAAAGCAATGGCTATGGTTTGCATTGTAGCTAACGATGACATTCACAAGCTCCTCTTTTTCGTTATGTATCTTTCTCTTTCTCACACTGGGTGGTCTAGGAAGTGGTAGACACGCCCGTTCACACTTTGTACAACTGGAGACCACGCTGCATCAGTCATCGTCAACATTGCCGCTTTCCGGATCCTCGTTGTCTATCATCAATGCTGAAGCCAATGTCGGTCATCCATCTTCAAGAGATACGGCTACCTGGAACACCCAACACATGTCTCGTGCCTGTCGTCCTTGAAGCACCATATTATTGTATACGAACGCTCAAGTGGAATTCAAGGCTTGGTGTACAAAATTGAGTATTATGAGATACATGATGATGGCAGGCTTCATTTGTCTTTGCGTCAAGAGGTGAGCATATGACTTGTAATGTTGTTGCACTCTTACTGATGCTATCCTAAAAGGTTGTGTTTCGTCATCAACGTGTTCGTGGCAGAAAGAGAAAGGAGCCTGACACCACCATTGTCATCCCATCACCATCATCTGCTGCTGTTCCTGTTGGTGTAGAACAAGCTTGGTATGTGCATAAATAAATGCTTTCGTGATCCCTATCATTGCACCATGTTCCTAATGTTCTTCTATCTATTAGCCCGTCATCATCATCATCATCATCATCATCTGCTGGTCCTGGTCCTGGTCCTGTTGCTACCTCCACATCATCATCATCATCATCATCATCTGCTGCTGCCGCTGCTGTTCTTGTTCGCTGTTGCTGTTGCTGCTTCGAAACCATCATCTTCTAATGACTTGTTGGATGAGGATGGCAATCCACCAGTGGTAGATTGGCCTGCTCAAGCGACTAGGTATGTGTAAACAAATCTTCTCCTTATCCTGATATAACACAATGGTCCTAATGCCTTTATCTATTAGCCCTATCCTTGCTGAAGTTGTTGATGTTTTTCGGCCTGATCCTGCTCTTGTACAGTCCTTGTCTGAGAACGATATTCATGTGGATAGTTTACCTTCATCGTTACGTTTCCCTTCTCCTCGCGGCAGCTGCAATCATCGACCTTTGGCGTGCGTAGTGGATGGATGGTGAAGCTTCTGGTCCCAACACTCGTAGCAAGGGCTTTTGGATTGGTTACTCAAGGAAGAAAATTGTACAGCAAACTCGATTATGATCGTGGTGGATATACAGCTGCAGATGGATATACTTCAGAGGTGGAAATCAAAGCACTCATGGATTACTTTTGGAGCAATGATGATCAATTGGGTTGCGTACCTTGATGATTTTACTTCAACACTTTGGCCTGCTTCGTAGTGAGAGCGTTCGCAGCTTGGAGTTCCCAGATCTACAATCCATGACACTCGACAATGAAGGAATCACCCCGTGTCACACTCTTGTCATGATCTTGAGCAAGGAAAAACGAACCAGTATGGTCGTGTGGAGGCGGCTGGATGCTTTAGACATACCAATATGAAGATTTGTGGGTATGTCATGCTTGCTTGTTGCTCCTTCAGTCATTCCATATTCAACTTTCAACATCATCAGTATCCAGGTGCCAATCTCAATCGGAATTGGTATGATTACAAAGCGATCAAGGTTAGTGACAGTGATCCAACCAACCAAGGAGCTCAGTTATTCACAACATCAAGCTGTTATTATGATAGCCTTCGAGTCTATCGGTCTACATACTAAAGCAAAGACACATGTAATGCGTGGTGCAGGTGCAAGAATGGATCATTTGGTGGATACTCAATGAACACATGTAAAACATGGCGCCGGTGTAAGAATGGATCAATTGGTGGATCTAGCGAGGCATCTATTCAACTTGCTTGGCGGTGGAACAGTGGCTCAATAATGACAACTTCGTTACCTGACAAATCTTCGCGAGTTCTTGCGTACAATGGCTCTTCTCCTGAATCGTTGGTCTTCTATCTTCGTGCATTTGCCACCTTGCTTAGCTTAGTTGTGTGATCTCCTTTTCTATTCAAAACCCCTTTTTCCTTTGATATCTTCCACCTCCAAATTATTTGGTATCCTATGTGCACGTTTTTCTCGTTTTGAATCGATAATCATACGGTCTACCTATCTATGCATGTTACAGCGATGCAAGTGGCTTTATTTAAAAGTAGCCGTCTTAGAATTAATAAACACATGAATGCTCTTTACATACGAATAGAATGATTGATGCATTGACGCAATGTACGCTAACTATATGATAAGCTTATGTAGCCATAAATCGTTCGACGCAACCTGTAGAAGTACACAATGACACACTCAACAACGCAATAGTATACAGCAACAGCATGAGTAGTCCTGAGCTGACTTTGGAGCAAAAACGCATACATTTATACTTTCGATTTCTTAACAACATCAACAAACGCGTGATGTACCTGCAACGCAAGGCGCTATCAAGCCCACAGGACTTTGGGTAAAAATATTTTAGTTATTTTATAAAAATAACTGGGTTCTTTTTTTCTGATTGGCTGCGGGATCTGAAGACCCAGGACTTGGCGGGGGACTCAGCGGGACTTGCCAGGACTTGGGGTCAAAATAATTTTTGGGCTGTTTGCGACATTGAACGCGAAACTTTCACACAAGGTGCTGTTGGCCAAGCCGAGCACATTGCTCTGTTCAAAACCCCACGTTTCATTGTAAAGTTCGGAGATATGGCTGTCTTTATGTTTTCACTACGCTGTAAGCGTGATGGAATTGGTTTTTTCTAGTGGATGGTGTCGACTGCATTAACGGAAAGATGAAGAGCTGAGTGAAACCGCACGTGGTGGTTACACAGGCACGTTCTTGACAGGTTGCTACACAAATGGATGATGATGATGATTGCCTTTTGTGAAGGTACGTAAGTAAACAGCATCCAATAATGAAGGTGTGTCAAGGTATGCATCACATCTGCATGTAGAAGAAATTCGAGCTGCATAAACCAATTTGTATATGTAAAAAGATACGTATACATGTTTATGGATCACTCATCCTGAAACTCAATGGAGGGATGTCTTCACTTTTCTCTTCTCAAGCTCATCCCACTTCCCACTCCTCCTTATTGTATCACAAAAGCCATGTACTTCTTGCATGGCCGATAACCAGACCACCTTTATTATTCCCATCTTCGAAGTAATCGTTTCTACAACGCCTGCCAACCTCTATCGTTTATTCTAGTATGTGGTCTATTCAGCAAGCTACTTGTCTTCTGGTTCTTTGGGGTTTTCATGTATGCAACTATCATTGGATGTCAACATGTCTTCGTGCATATGGCTATTATTGGTATATAGTGATTCGGCTATTTGTTCGAGGGCTAATACTCACATGAAGTTTAAGGCACACACTGTAACAAGCGGGGCGACGTGGAGTGCACAAATCAGGAACAATGAAAGGAACGACCTTCTCCTACTCCCGCTTCACAACGATGCAAGGTAAGACCAACTCCATTTACACTCTCCACAACACTAACTTCTGGAATTGCCAACAATGCACACCGTCAATGGGTGAACAGGTGGTCAATGGCGACACATTCAACTACAACAAGCACGTGCGCGATCTACCCATGACACAAGCTTCCATTCCAATACAACATGTAAGTTCAATCGCTGCAATTCCTTTTATTGTTCAAGTCGAACATTGTGGTACTAAAGTTCGCGTGTAGGTTGGTGTTGTCTCGTCTATACAAGACCCAGTGAGGTGTCGTGTGCATTCCTTACCAAGTTGTCCACAATGAGAGTTCTCAAGACGTCTTTACATTGCCTCTTTTGGGTATGCTGACAACAAAAGCGTGTGGGTTGGTTTTACTTGTTATCTCACATTGCGTTTATGGTAGGTTGAACATGTTAGATGATGGTACCTCTGGCAGCAACAGGATACGGATCTCAAAGCAAGAATGCTGTATGGTTGGCTCAATGGTATGTGTGGTATTGGATCTACAAAGCGAAACCTGTGAATTAACGAGACTTACAGTGAAACAGCAGCAGCATCTACTGGATGGCATGGATATACGGTTTTATTTGAGGCATTGATGCTATTGAGAAATACCACAAGGTAAGAGTGTTCATTGTGGGATTGGTGTGATTCAAGTGGACTTACCAAACGCCTTACAGTGGCAGAGCCTCTTTCGGCGATACTATTATTAACAGGCTGCACGTCAAGGATGTCATTGTATAGTACTGTGCTCTCCTGGGGAATTTTGGCCCGGAAACAGTGTGACTCAAGATGCGAT